GGGCAGCTGGGAGCTGCCACATGCCAAGAATGTTTCCAGACTGGGGAAGGGCTGGACATGAATCACCCAGTGCCTCTGCCAGACGCTGTGTGCAGGCTGGGCTCTGCACTGTGCTGTCCTGCAGAGAGTTTGAGGACCCTGTGCTGACCAGGGCTCCATCAACCCCACCAGCATCACCTGCACAGGTGGCTCCAGCCTGATTTTGTGGCTCCTGGGGAGTCCCAGCTGGATGTGACAGCCCTGTCTGTGTCAGGCTTGTTTGGGAAGCCCACGTGCAGATGTTGTTGCAGCCATGGACTCGCTCCTCCCACGCTGCTCCAGCCCTTTGTCTCCGTCACTTGTGGGAGCCTGAATTTTCACAAGTTGTAACTCAGCCTCTGGAGATCTCCAGGTCCGTAGCAAGGTACCATGGCTGGCACCAGGACCCTGCTCAGCCCAGTGCTGGCTCTCTCACTGGGCAGCTTGCCTTGCTGCCCACCCCAGCACAGTGCCCATCAGCATGGGGGATGCTCTTCCTCCTCCTCTGATGGACATCAGCGTGGTCCTGCTGTGATCCCAGGGAAATCCAGCAGCTCAGGAGATGGGGACCTGCAGCCTTCCCCCAGCCAACAGGAGAGCCAGTGCTGAGGAAAGGTTTGGCAGCCTGGGCAGCTCCTGTCCATGCCCTACACTGGCTGCCCTGGAATGTGGGTGGATGGTTTCACATCCAAAGACACCCACACCCCGTAATGCATCCCATATCCAAACCAGGGCTGCAGCTTCGGGAAGACAGGGAGTCCACGCTGCTGGAATCCAACAACAGCAGTGGGGCAACCAAAGTCTCCCCACAACTTCTGTCCCTTGCAGATCCTTCAGAACAATGGCACGTGGGGATTAGGGCTAAGAGTGAGGTAACCTTGCACTTCTCAGCAGCCAGAAGTCCCCCAGCATGGTCCCTGCATCAGCTCCTGGTGCACAGATGTCTCTAATTCACCTGCTCACCATGTGCAGGGAAAGGGTCTGAGCACCAGACTGGCCACAGGGACATCTGTGAGACAGTGGCTGAATGGAGAGAGCAGGAAAAACACAGGGAAGAAGGGCAGCACCCCAAACTGCTTAGGGCTGAAATCCTGGTAACTCCTCTCATTCAGAACACTTCCATTTCCATCTGGAAATAAGGAGGTTTCCACATTCACTTCCTCCTTGCTGGAGCTGGAAACGCTGTCCCCGTGGATGGTGCTGGGGTGCCTGCCCGGGGTGCAGGGACGTCCCTTTGGAAGCAGAGTCTTTCCCTGGCAGCACCAGGAGCGAGCTGCTGCACCATGACACGTGTTCCAAGCCTTGTGCAAACGCATCAGGCCTGATCTCGCTCCAAGCTTTCTGGTCAAGGATGCAATCTCAAGGGCAGTAATTTTCCCTTGCTTTCCCAACACTTTCCAAACGAGCACGTCTGAAAGCCTTGACTCAAGGGTTTCAAGGAGCTGGGCTGAGCACGACACGCGGCCAGGGACCGGCTCAGAGGCTCAAGAAATAAACAATAAAAGGAGCAGAACCAGAACATCTGGTGGAAAGTAGGAGCATGTTCCACAGTCTGGGTGTCTGAAGGATAAATGGGGCTGGACCGAGTCACAGCTCCTTTCTTGTCCACGTTGGGAGCAGGGCAAGCGTGATATTTATGGGCTTCAGTGATGCTGTGACTGCAACATCTTGGCACTTCTCCTTCACTGGCTTCAAGGGGAATAGGAACACATATGTGAAAAACATGTGCTGGGACACAACAACCCAGGCCCAAATGGCAGCAGACGCAGGGAGGGAGAAGCTCTGGGGACAAGCTCAGCTCTTACCCACAAATGTGATGGGGTAGGGTCCCCTGTGAGCCTTGGAGAGCTGCAGCCACCTGGAGAACACAGAAACCAGGCAATGAGGAGCCTGGCAAGGAAGTCTTCCCTTTCCTAAAGGGTATGGAATACATGGGCCTGACCAGGGAAGCTGGACTGAGCTTCTCAGTGCTGTGCCCCATGGCTGGGTCCTGCACCTTCCTTGTTTTCATGGGTCTGGGCAAAGCAAAAATTAAATAAAACCAAAGTGAGTCCTCAAGGATCTGTATCCAAGAAGCAGGACATGGGCTCTGGCATGGAAATCTGTAAGCCAGTGGTTCTGGTGATCCCTGCCTTGGAATTAAAGGCGTGAGTGGCCCCACTGGTTTCGCTTAGGGAGGAGTGAGCACTTAAGTGCTTTGCTGGATGAAGGCCTAGGAGAGAGGAGGGCTGGACTCCAAGTGGAGCTGGGCAGGAAGGAGCCTACGCACTCTGCTGCAATGGTTGGGATTTCCAGCCTGGACACAGGCAAGCAGAGCAGGCAGAGTGTGGAAATCCATCCCCGGAGTTCCAGGCAGGGCAGGGGCTGGAGCAGCCCAACTGGTGTTCCCAGGGATGGGCTGGGGAGCTCTGGCTCTGCAGAACAATGGTCTTGTCACGGGGCCATGGCAAGGTCCCCACCTCTGTGAGTGCTTGCAGTGTGCAGAGGGGAAGCTGTGGATGCCCGTGGCACTGACCCGTGGCCAGCAGTGCCCATCTCCTGGTGCTCCTGGAGAAGTCATCCACAGCTGAGAGGAGAGGAGAGGAGAAGGAGGAGGAGGCAGCACTGTCCTGGGGAAGGGGCAATGTGATTCGGGTGAGGTTGAAGGAAGATGACCCGGTGTTTGCTGAGGTGGGGCCAGGCCATGATCAGGTGCTTTGGAAGTTACGCCATCCCTGCACCCAGAGTGCTTCTTGGAGCTTCAGGAGATGCACCTGGAGCAACACCTCTGCCTTAGAATCCCAGATCTGGGGCAGGGGTCTCACATCTCTCCCACAACCTGAAGGATACTCTTTGCTGAGCCTGTTCTGGCAGGAGCACCAGCCTCTTCCCAATGCCCCCTAGCCTGACCCCAGCACACCTCCAGCTGCCCTGAGGCCATGGACACATCCCATGCCAGGTAGGAGATGCCATGGCTGGCTCAGCCCTGTGCCTGCACTCCCTGGGAGCCTCTCACCATGGAACCCTGCTCCTGAACCACAGCTCTGCTCATGTGGGCCAGGAGAGGCCAAGCCACTGCCACAGCAAGGCTGGGGACGGGCAGGACACTGCTTGGTGCTCACAGTGGCTGTCACCAGGATCGTCCCTGTGGAAGTGCAGCAAGTGCACAAAACCATGGAGAACTCCTCCACAAAAGGTCCATGAGCTCCCGAGTCGTCTTCAAGAGAGGGATATCGCCTGTGTCTGGACACTGTCCATGGAGAGCTGGACAGCAGCTCCACTGACACATCCACCTTGGCAGGCACCAGGACGGCCGTTCCCTGGACATCCACACAGCCAAGGGATGTGTACAGGGAGGAGGGAATGGCTTCCTTGCAGCTGGGACTTGGCAGAGGTGAGGTCTCATGCCTGGTGCTGATACTCAGATATCATCTCTGGTGATTTACGGCCGGAGCACGCAAGCACCACTTTGGGAAGATCCTCATAAATAGCTCCGGCGTGACAGAGGGCTGCTGGATAATGGAAAATCCTGGGATCAGCCCCTGTCACAGCTCTGTGCAATGTCTGCTGTTAACCCTGTCGTGACAGCAAGGAGGGGCACACAGCTCCAACTTCTCCCTGTGGAGTCAGAGCCTTTGACACCCCCATGCCAGAGCTCACATGCCATCCTGCTGAGCTCTGCTGATGCCATAGGTGCTGCCTTTCTTATCCACTGCCATGTCCCCTCTTTCCAGCCCCCTCCCCCTCTTTCCAGCCCCTTCTTGACTCCCATATGGATTTTGCAGCACCAAAGTGGAACAATTTTTGTCTGGAGGCTCTGCCACCTGTTACCAAAACTCATTGAAGCATGGCTTCAGAGGAACTGGCTTTCCCTCGAATGCCAGACAGAAAAAATGGAATAGGTTGGATTGGAAGAGGCCATAAAACCCATCCAGTCCCACCCCCTGCCATGGGCAGAGACACCTTCCATTACCCCAAGTTGCTCCAAACCCTGTCCAACCTGGTCTTGGACACTTCCAGTCACTGTGTTTGCCCTGTTATGTCATCCTTGAAAGCTTCCTGCTCCAAAGGTCACCTCCTGCTCCCTTCTGCCACTGAGGAGGGATCATCCTTTGCAGGACTTGCACAGGACCTGTGTCTCCCTGCCCAGGTCCCCACTGACCTCCCTGTGCCACCTCTGCAGGTTGATCCTGTCCCTGCACACCCTGGCCAGGACTATCCAGGTGTTCCCAGCCTTGACATGGGCATGGACATTCACCTGAGTTCCTGTTCATACTGGGGAGTCCCAGCGAGGTCCCACCACAGCTGAGCCAGAGCAAAAAAGGGAAACTGAGATCTGAGCAATGGAGAATCCACCAGCCTTCCCTGCACTGCTTGGAGCAGCCCTGCTCACCCCTCGCAGACATCGCCCTCCCAGCACGGCCCCGTGGCTGGTGCCAATGTCTGGGCTGTGCTGGGAGGGAGAGGAAACCCGGGAGGGGCACATGGCACATCTCCTCCTTGACAAGGGGTGCCCAGTGCCCGCTGGGCAGATGCCCAGGCAGCCGGACTGGGCTGTCAGCTCTGGCTCTGGTGGTGCTCGAGGAGCAACAGATGGGATCCATTAGCAGAGATTGTTTAGATATCTCCAAAGGGCTCCGTCACAACCCATTAAACCTAGACAAGCAGACATAATGAGGGCTTAACACGCCGTCGGTGGCACGCCTGGCAGAGCAGAGCTCCGCACCCCCGGAGCACTCGGGGACGGGGCACGGGCGGATCCCAGCGCATCCCGGGCTCCGGCTGCGGCTGGATGGCCCCAGCCCCGGGGGCAGGTCCCGCCTGGTCCCCCCATACACCTCCGCTCCTGTGCGGCTCCTGTGCCTCGGGATGGGGCACGAGTCCTCTGGATGTGCTTCCCTGCCCCAGCCCCACCCTCGCTCCCTCTGGCATCGCCCAGGGAAACGGGTGGCCAGCGCTGTCCCCCAGCACTGCGCTGACAGTGCGGGCTGTGCCTGTTCCAGGGCTGGTCCTGGCAGCTCCTCGTGGCCCAGATTGGCTCGGACCCCGGGATCTCTCCACCCCTGGAGGTGCCGGCCTCCATCGCCCCCCGACAGGCCCCGACGGCTCCGAGTGCCGGAGCCAAGGAGAGGCGGCTGCTGCCGCACGGTGCCATTCCCAGCGCCTCCATCCCGGCACGATGGCTGGAGTCCGCCCGCCGGCATTCCCAGTGGAGCCAGGAACGTGGCCTGGCATGCCCTTGAAGCCCTGGTGCTGCTGCTCAGCTGTGTCCCCTCCAGGTCCCCACTGCCACTGTCCCTGCTGGAGGGACTTCTTTCTCCTCCTTTGCTTTCTCGCGGCACGGCCCGTGCCCTGGGGACGCTGAGAGGTCTCACATGGCTGGGAGGGCTCCCTGCCCTCTTCCCTGCAGGGCTGGGAGAGTGGGCTGTACCAGGAGATGGAAGGAGGGCAGGAGGACATTCCTGGGGATTCCAGCAGAGGAGTGCATTTGTCTTCATTAACTCTGTAACTTAGAGCAGCCTTTAATCTAACAGCAATTTGCACACATCAAAGGAAAAAGGCTGGAAGGGATTGAATGGAGATCCACCACAACCCCAGGACAATTTCCAATGGGAGATGTATCCCTCGAACCAGCACGCTGCAGGAGCTGGTGCATCCCTGCACGTGTTCAGCTGGATCAGCCTGGTCTGGTGGAAGGTGTCCCTGTCCATGGCAGGAGCTGGATGGACTTTGAGGTCCTTCCAACCCACACCACTCCATGATTGTGATTCCTACTTCCGGCACAGAGTCCTGGGCTACCCCAACCCATGAGGGCCCAGCTCCTGTCCCCCAGGTGACAGAGGGGGACCCCCCCCAGCATCCTGCCTGGTGCTTCCCATTCCTGGTGTCTGCAAACCCTGGAGCGCTGTTTCCCACCAGCATGTGCCTTCTGCTGCCCCCCCACTCCATGGGGTTTGTGGGGCTCCCCAGATTTTGGCAGGGAAGGTTTTGGAACCAGGTCAGGTTTCTCAGCCTCTCTAGGTGAGGGCTGCAGTTTCAGGGCAGCTCTCCAGGAATTCAGCAGTGCTGAATGGGATCCGGATGGGAAGGCTCAGGTATCTGAAGGCATGTCAAGCCTCCACTCAAGCATTTGACAGTGTTTTCCATGACCTCATTAGGCTGAGGCTCATTAGCCTGCTCTCCACAGAAACTGGAGCTCCTCCCAGGGAATTTGGGCCATTCTTTGTGGCCAGCACAGTAGGTGGGTCATGGCTCAGAGTGCAGCTCTTCATGTGCCATTACATGGCTGGGTGCTGCAGTCTCTAATAACACTATTTCTGGATTGCAGCGATGCTAATTGAGAACCAGTGTGTCATTAATTATACAAATGACTTGATGCCAGCACTGGATTGTGTCTAATTTCTGGAACTACTGTCCTTGTTTGTTTGGCTTGACAGCTCCTAGTACTCGAGGTCTTGCATTATTTGACATTTCATTCCAGAGCCACAGCGATTCTGGGGCAGGGGGTGCCTGGATGTGCATGTCCCTTTTCCTATCCCAAGCAGAGCCAGCCCGGGATGCCTGGAGGGACTCCTGTCCATGAACACTCTCCTGCCAGGCCTGGCAGCGTTACCAGGCTGGGGTTCCACCTGTGCAGGGGCTCTGCTGCCACAGGGCGCTGTGCCCATGCCAGGGAACACATCCTCCTGCAGCTGCCTTCTCCCTCGAGACTCCTGATGGTTCTCAAGGGAGGATCAGCCAGCACAGAGGCTTTCCCAGGTTCCTTTCCTAGCCTGTGCCCTCTAGCTTGTCCACGTAGCCCAAATCCCGAGGCTCCCAGTGTGGCTCCAGGGGGAGGAGGTGGCAGTGGCTGAGCAGAGCCTTGACTTCCCTGCAGGGAAGCAGCCCCTGCTGGGGGTTATCCCAGGGAGTGACCCCATCCATTTCCATCCATATCCAATGGGAATGAACTGAATCTGGTCTGGGATGAGCCAGCAGGTTCAGGAGCATTGCTGGCTTGCACTGATATGTGGGTGGGAGACCAAGGGATTCTACCAGGGCAGCAGGTCTGGGTGGGCAGCTCAGGCAGCTCCCAGGGGGCTGAGGCTCAACCTTCACTCAACTCTTTATTTATTTCTTTAATCTGGAGGATTTGCCTGTTTCAAGTCCCTCCCAGAGCTTTTCAGGACTTCGGTTCTGTTCTTCTGGCATTTTTCCCCATAGTACAATGTGATCTCTGTGAACTCCATTGCCTTCAGCGTCCCAAATATTTGCAGTATCTTTTTGTGAAATATTTTGGATACACAGCCCAGCCCCAAGGAGTCCCAGGAAGCACCTCCTGGATAAGGCATTAGGAGCATGCATGCAAGAAGGTTGAGCTTTGTCCAGCGGAACTGGTGAGGATCCAGATGAAAACATGGGAACATCTGACCTCTGCCACTTGCTCCAAACCCTCTCCCTGGCAGGCAGAGCAGAACAAGCCATTTTCACACCAAACTCAATGCCAGGCTGGAGAGTTCCCTTCTCCTTTGTGCAGAGCAGCTCTGCAGGGCTTTGCTATCTCCATGTCCCTGCTGCCAGCTGGTTCCTCTGTCGGAACTGCTGCAGTGCCAGAGGGAAATTTTTAGCTGCTCTTATGAAAGGACAACGTGATTTTCTAAAATTACATGTTACCCATTATTTCCTAAGCTTCCCCAGCCCTGTCCCTCTCCTCCCAAGGAGGGCACTGGAGCCAGGTCCAGGCATTGAAAGGGCAGCTGGGGTGGGTTCCCCCTGTGGGTTCCCCCCAGATCTCTGTACCCATATGAAGGTCAGTGCGGTCCCACGCTGCCATCTGGCATATTTTCCCCCCGAAATGTTTCCCAAAACAGCCTCCAGCAGGATTTTTTCCATGCTGCCCCTCTGTCCCATGCTGCAGGATCACCCCACATCCAACTTTGACGGGGTTGTGCTCAATATGAGGAGTTTTTTCCAAAAGCTCCTTTCAGCAGCTTTTCCAAGCCTGCATCAGTTGTCACCAAGGGGATTTTCCAGTCCCTATGTGTACCACGGCTTGGGTGCCTACAGGGAATCCTGCACTGAGAGATTTTCCTCTCTCCAAGGAGTTGTTCTTTGGGTTTTCTTTTCTCTTTTCTTTTCTCTTTTCTTTTCTTTTCTTTTCTTTTCTTTTCTTTTCTTTTCTTTTCTTTTCTTTTCTTTTCTCTTTTCTTTTCTTTTCTTTTCTTTTCTTTTCTTTTCTTTTCTTTTCTTTTCTTTTCTTTTCTTTTCTTTTCTTTTCTTTTCTTTTCTTTTCTTTTCTTTTCTTTTCTTTTCTTTTCTTTTCTTTTCCTTCCCCTTCCCCTTCCCCTGCCCCTGCCCCTTCCCCTTCCCCTTCCTCTGGCAGTGTTTTCCCCCAGGTGTGATTTCCAGGCTGGCAGACCCAGACTGGCTCTGTGGGTGTTCAATGAGGATTCCCCAGCCAGCTCCCTCAACTTTGATTTTGGGATCCTCATTAATTCCTGGGCCCAATTAGAGCCCCGGATACCCCCCAGTGCTGCCTTTGATCACTCAACAGCCTCCAGTTTGCTGCACATCTCCAAAGTTTTGTTCTCTTCAGGCTGCACCTCCCTTTCCCCCAGCACCTCAATGCTCTCCGGATTCCCACAGTGCTGCCTCAGTCTCTTCCCACTTTTCCACCCAGAGAAGCTGTGGCTGCCCCTGGATCCCTGGCAGAGCCCAAGGCCAGGCTGGACAGGCTTGGAGCACCCTGGGATAGCAGGAGGTGTCCCTGTCCATGGCAGGGGTGGCACTGGATGAGCTTTGAGGTCCCTTCCAGCCCAATCCATACTATGACTCCTTGATTCCATGATTCCCCTCCAGCTCTGTGCCTCCACCTCCATACACTTCTCCTGGCAAAGAGACCAGTGAGGCATCCCAGGAGAATCCTCTGCCCCTCTGCCCAGAGCTGATCCCAAACCACAGGCTCGAATCTCATGCACAGACTGTCCCTAGAGTCTGTAGCACCAGGGACTCCTCTCTGGAAAGGGACAGTCCCTCTGCTGGGAAGGGAAGCGACTGCAGTTCCCAGAGGGAAGATGAGGAGCTGCAGCTCCTCCTGGAAAGAACATTAGGATTTTTGCAGCATCTGGAGGGAAATTTCTCAGTTCTCACTTGCAGGTGATCAAGTTCTTTAAAAGTCCATTTTAAAGATCAGCGTGATAGCAGGATGTCCAGTGAAAAAATAAGGTTGGAAAAACAAATGGTTTCCAGTGTGTTTTCTTGGGGTGTGGACTGTGAAAAACTGTGCTCATCCTCAGTGGCTGTGTTACTGAGACACGAGTGTTTGGTGGCTGATGATGTCCTCAGAGGATGCTACAGTGTCCCCATTCCGAATGGATGATCCCAGAGCTCTCATTCACCTCTTCAACCCCTCCACCTTTCTGTCTGCTCTATATCACCCAGACAGGGCTCCCATTTTGCCTGTGAGGTGCTTTCTTCTACTGACACAAGTACACGGCCTTATCAGCACTGCCTTCATGGATTTGGTGCAGTAGAAGTCAAAATCCTCAATCTGCTGTCCCAGTAGGACCCCAGAATCCAACAGTATTAAACTCTACGCTGTCATGGTCAGGACCACCACTGTTTTGAAACCAGTTTGTGCAACATCTGTCCAGAATAGTTTGAGATTGCTTTGAAATGCTCTCAAGAGCCCTTCAACTGAGGCTTAAGCAGGAATAAAAAGTGCACACCCTGATGTCAGATGAAAGAGAAAGCCCTCTGCCTATGGAAGGGAGGTGTGTAATTGCAGAGACATGAACTGGATCTGGTTTTAATCCCACTGGACAGATTGAGCACTGTCAAGTGCAATTTCTAATCTCAGTCCTGCTCGGCTGCGTCGGAGTATGGCTGAAGGTGTTTTTCAAGTGTTTAGGAGGCTTTCCAAAGACAACAGTGTCATCTGGAGAACATCAGCCTGCAGGCTGGTTGCTGTGAACGGGACGCTCTTTGAAAAGCCCTTGGTGCTGATGCAAGTCCAGATGGCTCGTGTTGAACCTGGGGCTGGGCCATGTGCAGAACATGCCATGAGGTTCCTGTGGCTCCACCATGCTCAGCCTATGAGCACTGTACAGGACTGCTGGCTCTTTTCCCCAGTCCCATAGGACTTCTGTGACCCACAGATGTGCCCAGAT